GTTTTCATTTGTTTTGATGTATTTTTTTGACTTTCTCTTTGATTTCTCGGTTGTCCCATTCATTGTTTACTAGCATATTATTTAACCTCCATGGATTTGTGTTCTTTTCAGCTTTTTCTTGTGGTTGATTTCTAGTTTCACAGCATTGCAATCAGAAAAGATGCATGGTATGACTTAGATCTCTTTGAAATTGTTGGGGCTTGTGTTTTTTTTTTTTTTTTTGGCCTAATATGTGATCTGTACTGGAAAATGTTCCATGTGCACTTGAAATGAATGTATATTGTTTTATTATGGAATATTTTGAATATATCTGTGAAATCTAGTCCAGTGTGTCATTCAAAGCCATTGCTTCCTTTTGATTTTTTGTTTGGATGACCTATTAGTCGATGTAAGTGGGGTGTTAAAGTCCCCTACTATTATTGTATTACTATCAATTAGTTTGTGTTTGTTGTTAACTGTTTTACATATCTGGGTGATCCCATGTTGGGTACATAAATACCTATAATTGTTATATTATGCTGTTAGATTGTCTCCTTTATTATTACATAGTGTCCTTCTTTGTCTCTAGTTACACTCTTTGTTTTAAAGTTTATTTTGCCCAATATATGTAACAAACCATAAGAGACTCTTAATGACAGAGAACAAACTGAGGGTGGGCAATGGGCTAGAGGGATGATGGGTATTGAGGAGGGCACTTGTTATGATGAGCACTGTGTGTTGTATATAAGTGATGAATCACTGAGTACTACTCCAGAAACCAATATTGAACTATATGTTAACTACTTAAAATTCAAATTTAAAAAAATAATTTTAAAAAAGAAACAAATGAACAAAGGGGAAAAAAAAGAGAAACCAAGAGTCAGACTTTTAACAATAGAGAACAAACAGAAGGTTACTAGAGGAGGGTGGTCAGGGAGAAGGGTAAAATAGGTAAAGGGGATTAAGAGTTTCCTTAACATCATGAACACTGAGTAATGTACAGAACTTTTTTTTTAGGATTTTATTTATTTGGCAGAGAATGAGAGACAGAGAGAGACAGCAAGAGCATGCATAAGCAGGGGGAGCTGCAGAGGGAGAGACAGGCTCCCTGCTAAGCAGGGAGCTCCATGTGGGGTTCGATCCCAGGACCCCAGGATCATGACCTGAGCCAAAGGCAGCCGCTTAACTGAGCGAGCCACCTAGGAACCCCTTGAAATTCTGATCACTATACTGTACACCTAAAATTAATATGACACTGTATGTTAACTATGCTAGCATTTAAATAAATTAAAAAATTTTTTAAACATAAAAAAAGTTTATTTTGTTCAATATTAAGTATTGCTACTCTGGCTTTCTTTGGACATTCATTTCCATAATGTTTTTCTAGCCCCTCACTTTCAATTTTCAGGTTTCTTTAGATATGAAATGGGTCCTGTGTAGGGAGCATATAGAAGGGTCTTTTTTTTTTTTTTTAATCCACTCTGTTACTCTATGTCTTTTGATTGGAGCATTTAGTCCATTTACACTCAAAGTAATTATTGATAGATATGTTTGACTTTTTGTTACTGGTTGTTTTGTAGTTTTTCTCTGATCCTTTCTTCTCTTTCTCTCTTGCATGATTTGCTGGTTTTCTTAGTTATACACTTGGAATCCTTTCTCTTTATTCTTTGCATATCTGTTAGTGGTTTTTAATTTGTGGTTACCATTAGGGTAGCATATAACATCTTTTGCACATAGCAATCTACACTAAGTTGACTGTCACTTAAGTTCAAACCCATTTTTTACTTCTTTTTTCCCATTTTAAGTATATGGTGTCATATTTTACATCCTTTTATGAATGCCTTGACTGGTTTTTTACAGAAATACTTATTTTTACTGTTCTTGTGTTTCCTACTTTTCATATTCTCACTTATGGTCTTTCCTTTCCATTCAAGGGCCCCCATTAATATTTCTTGTAGGGCTGGTTTAGTGGTCATGATCTCCTATAGTTTTTCTTTGTCTGAGAAATGATCTCTCCTTCTATTCTGAATGACAGCCTTGCTGGAAAGAGTATTCTTGGCTGTTCGTTTTTCCATTTTGGTACATAGAATATGGCATGGAATCATGCCACTCCCTTCTGGCCTACAAAGTTTTTGCTGAAAAATCTGATAGACTTACAGGGTTTCTCTTGTATGTAACTGTGTTTTCTCTTGCTGTTTTTGCAATTTTTTTTATCATTACTTTATGCCATTTTGATTACTATATGTCTTGGTGTGAACCTACTTTTGTTGATTTTGTTGAGGGAATCTCTCTGCCTCCTGTTTCCTTCCCCAGTTTAGGGAAGTTTTTAGCTCCTAATTCTTCAAATAAATTTTTTGCCCCCTTTTCTCTCTCTTCTTCTTTTGGGAACCCTATAATGTGAATATTATTATGCTTGATGGAGTCACTGAGTTCCCTAAGCCTATTCTCATTTTCATAATTCTTCTTTCCTCATTTGTTCAGTTTGATTGCTTTCCATTCCTCTGTCTTCCAGTTCATTAAATTATTCCTCCACTTCTTTCAGCCTGCTATTTATTTCATCAAGTGTATTTTTATTCATTCTGTTCTTCAATTCCGAATGGTTCTTTTTCTATCTCTGTCTTAAGGGTCTCACTGATGCCTTCCACTCTTTTCTGAAGTCCAGTGAGTATCTTTTTGATAATTACTTTAAATTGTCTCTCAGGCATGTTACTTACATTTTAGTTCTCTTCCTGTGATTTTGTCCATTTCTTTCACTTGTGACGTATTCCTCTGTCTCCTCATTTTGCCTAGCTCTCTGTGTCTGTGTGTTAGGAAAGCCAGGTATCTCTCTTATTTGTTTTTTGTTTTTTTTTTAAAGATCTTTTTATTTATTTGAGAGAGACACAGCAAGAGAGAGAACACAGGCAAGGGGAGTGGGAGAAGGAGCAGGTTCCCCGCTGAGCAGGGAGCCCAATGTGGGGCTTACTCCTGGGACCCTGGGATCATGACCTGAGCCAAAGACAGATGCTTAATGACTAAGCCACCCAGGCGCCCCTATATCTCATATTCTCATGCACTTTTAAGTATGTGCTTTTTCTCCATTTGTTGTTGTTGTTGTATTTTGTAATTCTTGGGAAAAATAAGGTGGAATGTGCTTACTCCATTTCATCTGGAACAGAAGTTCCAGTAGCTGTACTTGATATTTTTATATTTCCCAGAATCCTCTTACCTCTTTTGGTAGTTAACCACATTTTAATACTTATACTTAGTAATTCTTTTTTTAACTTTTTTAAAAAAGATTTTATTTATTTGACAGACAGAGATCACTAGTAGGCAGAGAGGCAGGCAGAGAGAGAGGGGGAAGCAGGCTCCCTGCTGAGCAGAGAGCCTGATGCAGGGCTCGATCCCAGGACCCTGGGATCATGATCTGAGCCGAAGGCAGAGGCTTTAACCCACTGAGCCACCCAGGCGCCCCATACTTAGTAATTCTTGATACTGCATTTTTCCTGTTCAAGTTACTGGTGTGGTATTCATGTCCTGACTGGACTCTGGCTGATATGCAATTTTTGGTAATGATAAAGCATAGGGTATGACCATGAATGTGAATGGTGCAGGAAAAATGAGCAAAGAGACTGAGGGGTTGGAAGGATCACCTACATTAAAGTCACAGAGGTAACAGGAGAGAGAAAGACGGTACACCAGGACCTCACCAACTCAGCACCTTTACCACATTATGTCATGACCATGAGACATTTCAATAAATGACCCAGGAGCTCTAATAAATTATCCATTTTCAATTCTCAGTCAAACATTCTGCATGAAACAGTTGTCACTGTTGGATACCATCAAGAACTCCACTCAGGGGTCAGGAAATCTAGCTCTAATTCTGGATTTATTATGCTCATTCCAGCCTTAGGACTTCAGTAATATATTGTCTTTATTTGAATCTAGGTTCAAAACATATTTCCTCATCTTTGAAATAGAAGGTTTATTTCTCTTTTGTTTCTCCCTTAGAAGGGCTGTAAAGGCAGTCTGTATAAACCACATTCTCTAATATACCCATACTACAGATGAAACCTTTCCATGTCCAGCTGCTCAGGTACAAAGATTCTACAGCAAAGCATGTCATTTCGTCCTCACCACTGCCCTGATCCAAGTCTTCTTTTGTTTTCCCTTGGACAATGCTACAGCCTACCACCCATCTCCCTGACAATTCTCTCTCATACATGTCCCGATGAGTCTTTCTAAAACAATGAGGTAATATGTCCTCTACAGTCTACCAAAGCAGCCCATTACACATTTAGGGATCTCTATGATACAGCCTCAGTGGGCCCTATAGCCATACCTCTTCCTCACATAGCCTTCTCCTATCCCCAAAGCATATCACTTAAGGAATCCATACAGGTTAGCTGCTGACTGTTGCCTCTCCATAGAATACCTTCTTTATTCACCTTTGATCGGTAAAATAATATTTTTTCCTCAAGACAACATAAACACAATTCTGAGGACACAGATCTTTTTTACACAATGGGCAGTGGTCTTTTCCTCCACTGATGTTCTATTGCATTTGACTTATTCTTCTCTGGAAGGAACTCACCACAAATCATTTTATACTCTGTTTATAAACATGCTGTTTCTCCTTCACTGGCTAGGAACATCTATTAGGCAGGGCTACATCTTTTTGCCTTTCTCTAGCACCCACAAAAAGGCCTAGAATATAGTAGGTGCCCAGGGAATTTAAAGTAGATTGCTAGGGTAGTGCATGGGGTTAAAATGTCAGCCTGGTTTGCAATGAGCACAAATTTGAATTATGTATGGAAACTATATAGTGTGTGTATTATTTATGAGACTATGTTTGAGAATGCAGGGGTACAGATGTATGGTTTGTAAAGAAGTGGTCTGTGTATGTGCTCTGTGCATATGTGCCATACAAATACAGAAGAAACTTTCTGGGGCTTGCCCTCTCTGCAAGTTGGGTCATACTGGTCATCTTCCATGGCATTGGTCTTATCTCCTCCCCATTCCAGCCCCTGCTTTCCTACCTTAATTGTACATCACTCTCCAGCCCCCAGGCCCCTTGTTCAACAGCTTTCTCAAAGGACATCATGGTATTCTCAGGCCCCAACTGTGGAAGAAAAAAACATCAGCTGCTATTCCTCAGAGTCTCTCTCCCCGCCACCATCCCTTTAATGGCTGGGAGGGAGCCCAGCAACAAAGGGCTTTAGGGAGACGAGTTTGGATCCCTTGGCTCTTTGGAAAAAAAAAAAAAAGCTATTTTTCAAAAAGCCTGCCTATATTCTCCTCTACCCAAACTGATTCTGGGACTCTGCTCATCTGAGGTAATGTGACTGGGCACAGTACAGAAAGATAAGTTAGGTGACTTGGGTTCAAATCCAACCTCTACAATTAACTCTTCATTCTTGTCATTTCCAGCCAAACCCTTTTCCTTTCCAGGGGTTACCATGGTTCTGAGGTCCCTCTCTCATCCACACACCCCATGTATATGCCTACTCACCCATGCTCAGACCTACCATGGGTGCACCTCTGTGTCCAATGAAGTCTGGCTTGGGTCCCAATTTACCCTCCTCCTGAATGCAGGGAGAATGAATCCCCAATGGAATAACATAGAGACATAAAAGGATAAGGAAAAAAGGCAATCCAATAGCCACCTGTAGAGCTAAAAAAAAAAAAAAAAAGTTGGGAGAGAGAGAAGTGAGAACAAAGCAGAAGTGGAACGAAGAACCATCTCAAGCAACTAACTATCCCAGCAGCTGTCAGTTACTACCCAGTCTATCAGTTTCATTGATTCTATGGACTGGCTGATTTACTATTTCTGTCACGTCCTCACTTAATTTCAGTGACTTTTAAAGAATAGGGCTATCCAAATACAAGTATTGCTATTAAGGAAAAAAATCACTAGAACTTAAAAGGAAATGAACTGTGAAGGAGGTAGGATGGAGAGAAAATGTTAAGGAATACCTTCGCAGGAGGAAGAGCAGTTTGGCAGCTTCTGAGAAAGCCTGTAAAGATAAGCCTAAAATGCCTGTATTTAAGACACTGTAAAATAGTGGAAGGAGCACTAGTTGACAGAAATCTTAGTTCAAAGCCATAGTCTACCACTTTCTAGTTGTGTGACTAAGGACATGTTGCTTAACCTCTCTGAGTCTTCATTTTCTCCATTCTGAAAAAAGGAGCTATCTTTCTACTAAAACCTACCTCAGAGAATGGATATATCAACAGTGATGAGTCATAATAGGTCATCAATAAATACTAGGTATTTGCTCTTCTCTTTCTCTCTTTCCTACACACCCACCCAACAGCCTATCACAGTATCTGTTATTACTGGTCATTCCCCCAACACTATTTTAGACCTCTGAGAATTTTACCCATTTGCATATTTTTAAGTTACCACTTATGGTCCAATCACTTGCAAATCTAGATCTCCAGCTCTAACCTCTCAACTTTGTGAGTGTATTACATCTCTTGGTTTTTTCTCTGTCATAATTTGCCATCTTGTATCTTCTGATTCTAGCTAAAATTTAGGAAATGAAAAAGAGTTCATTATTATCCCCTTTAAGATCCTGCCCCAGAAATATTGCCTAAAATTCACCTCTACTTACTCGTACACACATGTACAAGCACACAATGGCAAAAGTATCAATCCAGTCTTTCTTTTGCCTGCATCCTTCCACAATTCAGGAAGCAAATACTCCTTTAACCAAGAGTAAAAAGAGAGATGGTAAAGAAAGGGAGACCCTGCTTTTTTAGTGAAGGTGCTGCAAGATAACTTTATTCTCAGAATAATTTGGTATACAGCTCTGATTCTCGGATTCTTTTGGTATACAGCTCTGATTCTTTTGTTTCCATATTAGGAATGGAGAGATCAGTGGCAGTAGCAGACATTTTCTGCTTCTGCTTTGAGTCAGGAAGACACAGAAGACTGCTTTGAATTACTAGGATGGAACGAGGGATATCTGGACCCATCATAAGTTTGTTAGTTGACACTAGTAATATTTGATACAAACTAAAGGAACTGTGACTTGTGCAAACACTTCAGTCAAATAAAATTAAAATGTACCTGTATTCTCGCCCCACCATTCCCAGAAAATCTGTAACAACATAGACAAAATTCTTATTTTTCTAGAAGAATCCCTTTTCAGAAGGAGATTTGTTTGGCTAGGAAATTGCTGCAACAGGCCACATATGGTTGTGAGTTCGACCGCAAAGAGCATGTAAGAATAATAAGCTAAACGAATTTCGAAGTGGTATAGTGGTGGCTATCTACTAAACTTGCATTTTGCTAAGTGAAGAATACAAGCTAAAGTTAGAGCTGAAATAAACAGGTAAGGTTCTACCACATGACATACCTTCTTCTTCCAAATGGATTAAGTAGAAGCCCACAGGCCAGGAAAGGATAACCATCATACTTATGCCACTCAGGTGCACATAGGGAGCAAAGATCTGGGAGAAAGCCAAAAGTTAGGCTGACACATCTAGACAGACAGCGCTAGACCTATAGGATGATGCTTACCTGCAGTGACAGCCCAGTAGTCAGCCACCTGTCCCTCCAGTATGTGAATAAAATCCACAAAAAAAATGAGATTGTCACAATCACTAGCAGAACCAGGACCTGGGGAAACAGAAAGAATCTCCTGACTTCTAGGCACTAGGACTGAATCAGAACTGTTTTGGGGAATTACATGTGTGTCCCAACAACAGGACTTCATTTCCTCATCCTTTTACTCTGTCTTGCAAATCTTCAACATGGAATGGATCCAATCACTTAACCATCTCTGTGTGTAAGTCTTTGCTGGACAGCATGGCTGGGGAAAAAATTACTCAGCTATGTGGTCTGATGCCTTTACTAATTTACGATCTCTAGCCTCAGCTGGGCCCCTAACATTGCTTAGCACCTCTCACCCTGCTTCAACAATGGCTATTACAAATGCTCACTACTTTTCTATATGGCTCCATACATTCACAAGTAAACAGTATTCTATAATTGCCTTTTCTATGTCTTCTGCAACAAACTATAACATTCATGATATCAAGGACAATGTTTATGATTATATCCTTACTGCCTTGCAAAATGTTTGGCACACAATAGGCATCCAATAAATATTTGTTGAACAAAGGGGAACAGAAATCTGCCTGCCAGAACACTATACAATTCACAAAGAAAAAAAACATTGAGACCAAGAAAACACAACTAAGTTTTCTCCTTTATTTTTTTAAAGATTTTATTTATTTATTTATTTATTTATTTGACAGGGAGAAAAAGATCACAAGTAGGCAGAGAAGCAGGCAGAGGGTGGGGAGGAAGCAGGCTGCTGAGCAGAGAGCCCGATGCAGGGCTCGATCCCAGGACCCTGAGACCATGACCTGAGCTGAAGGCAGAGGCTTAACCCACTGAGCCACTGAGGCACCCAAGTTTTTCTCCTTTAAATGTATAGTTTTTCTACATATGTACTGTGAGAACAGTACTAAAGAGTGTTTAGTTACCTCTTTTCCATTATCTATCTATTAAAGTAATTGAATCCATAATCAAACTTTATCATAAAATACCTCAATGGCTAATTTACCAAACATTTAAGGAATAAATATTTCCAATCCTTAACAAACTCTTCCAGAGAATAGAAAAAGAGGGAACATATTCTGACTTGTTTTACATAGCCAACAAAACATTCATGCCCCAACTCAACAAGGACATTACAAAAAAGAAAAAGTACAGACACACCTCAGACATAGGTTCAGTTCCAGATCACCACAATAAAGGCATTATTACAATAAAGCAAGTCGATGAAATTTTGGCTTTCCCAGTGCATATAAAAGTTATGGTTATACCATACTGTAGTTAATTAAGTGTATAATTATATTACATATTTAAAAACAATGTATATACCTTAACTCAAAAATACTTCATTGCTGAAAATTTTAACCCTCATCTGAACTTTCAGTGAATCATAATGTTTTTGCCAGTGAAAAGTCTTGCCTTAATGTTGATAGAGGCTGACTCATCAAGGTGGTGGTTGCTGAAGGCTGGGGTGGCCATGGCAATTTCTTAAAATAAGACTACAAGGAAGTCTGCTGCATTGATTGACTCTTCCTTTCATGAATGATTTCTCTGTAGCATGTGATGCTGTTTGACAGTATTTCATTCACAGTAAAACTTCTTTGAAAACTGGAGCCAATCTTCTCAAACCCTGCTACTGCTTTACCAACTAAGTTTATGTAATATTCTAAATCCTTTTTGTGTCATTTCATCCATCTTCACAGCCTCTTCAGCAGTGGAATCCATCTCAAGAAACCACTTTCTTTGCTCAACCATGAGAAGTAACTGCTCATCCATTCAAGTTTTACCATAAGACTACAGCAATTCAGTCACATCCTCAAGCTTCACTTCTAATCCTAGTTCTCTTGCAATTTCCACCATGTCTGCAGTTACTCCCTCAAGTCTTGAAACACTCACAGAGTCATCCATGAGGGTTGGAATCCACTTCTTCCAAACTCCTGTTCATGCTGATATTTTGACCTCTTCCCATGAATCACAGATGTTCTTCACGACATCCTGAAAGTTGAATCTTTCAAGAAGGTTTTCAATTTACTTTGCCCAGGTCCATCAGAGGAATCACTATCTGTGGCAGCTATTAGCCTTACAAAATGTATTTCTTAAATAATAGTAATAGTTGGTAGTCAAAATCATCCCTTGATCCATGGACTGCAAAATGGATGTTGTATTAACAGGCATAAAAACAACATTCATTTTGCTGTACATCTCCATGTGAATTCTTGGGTGACCAGGTATATTATCAATGAACAGCAGTATTTTGAAAGAAAACTCTTTTTCACAGACTGTCTTCCTTCCACTTGGTATTTTTCCTGCTTTGTCGAAGATTAGTTGACCACAGAGTTGAGTCCATATCTGGGCTCTCTATTCTGTTCCACAGGTCTATGTATCTGTTTTTATTTTGCTAGTACCATGCTGTCTTGGTGATCACAGCTTTGTAAGATAGCTTGAAATCAGGTAACATGATGCCCCCAGCTTTTTCTTTTTCAACATTTTGTTGGCGATTTGGGGTCTTTTCTAGTTAAATACAAAATTTTATGATTGTTCTAGCATTTTCAAAAGTGCCATTGGGATTGGTATGACTTGTAAAGTATAGATTGATCTGGATAGCATAGATGTTTTAACAATGTTTACTCTTCTGATCCATGAGCATGGATGTTTTTCCATTTTTTGTGTCTTCAATTTCTTTCATGAGTGTTTTGTAGTTTTGTAGTTCTTTCATGAGTGTTTTGTAGTTCTTAGATCCTTTACCTCTTTGGTTAGGTTTATTCCAAGGTATCTTATGGTTTTTGGTGCTATTGTAAATGGAATCAATTTTCTAATTTCTCTTTCTATAGTTTCATTGTTCACGTATAAGAAAGCAGCTGATTTCGGTGCATTGATTTTATACCCTGCCACATTACTGAATTGTTGCATGAGTTCTAGTAATTTGGGGATGGAGACTTTTGGGTTTTCCACATAGAGTATCATGTCATCTGTGAAGAGATATTGACTTCTTTGTTAAATTGAATACCTTTTATTTCTTTTTGTTGTCTGATTGCCATTTCTAGGACTTCTAGTACTATACTGAACAATAGCGGCAAGAGTGGGCATCCTTGTCATGTTCCTGATCTCAATGATCTCAAAACTTGCTGCAGGTTTTTCATAGATGGATTTTATGAAGTTGAGGAATGTTCCCTCTATCCCTATACTTTGAAGAGTTTTAATCAGGAAAGGATGCTGTATTTTATCAAATGCTTTTTCTGTATCAATCAAGAGGACCATGTGATTCTTCTCTTATTTATGAGTTCTATTACAGTCATTGATTTGTTGAACCAACCTTGCATATCAGGGATATATCCCACCTGGTGGTGATGAATAATCCTTTTAATGTACTTTAATGTACTTTAAAAGTACTGTGCTTTTAATGTACTGTTGGATCCTAATAGCTAGGATCTTGTTGAGAATTTTGGTATCCATCTTCATCAGGGATCTTGATCTGAAATTCTTTTTCTTTAAATTTTTTTAATTTATTTTCAGTGTAACAGTATTTGTTGTTTTTGCACCACACCCAGTGCTCCATGCAATCCATGCCCTCCCTAATACCCACCACCTGGTTCCCCCAACCTCCCAACCCCCTCCCCTTCAAAATCCTCAGATTGTTTTTCAGAGTCCATAGTCTCTCATGGTTCACCTCCCCTTCCAATTTCCCTCAACTCCCTTCTCCTCTCCATCTCCCTATGTCCTCCATGCGATTTGTTATGCTCCACAAATAAGTGAAACCATATGATAATTGACTCTCTCTGCTTGACTTATTTCACTCAGCATAATCTCTTCCAGTCCCGTCCATGTTGCTACAAAAGTTGGGTATTCATCCTTTCTGATGGAGGCATCATACTCCATAGTGTATATGGACCACATCTTCCTTATCCATTCATCTGTTGAAGGGCATCTTGGGTCTTTCCACAGTTTGGCGACCGTGGCCATTGCTGCTATAAACATTGGGGTACAGATGGCGCTTCTTTTCACTACATCTGTATCTTTGGGGTAAATACCTAGTAGTGCAATTGCAAGGTCATAGGAAAGCTCTATTTTTAATTTCTTGAGGAATTGCCACACTGTTCTCCAAAGTGGCTGCACCAACTTACATTCCCACCAACAGTGTAAGAGGGTTCCTCTTTCTCTACATCCTCTCCAACACATGTTGTTTCCTGTCTTGTTGATTTTTGCCATTCTAACTTGTGTCAGGTTGTATCTCAATGTGGTTTTAATTTGAATCTCCCTGATGGCTAGTGATGATGAACATTTTTTCATGTGTCTGATAGCCATTTGTATGTCTTCATTGGAGAAGTGTCTGTTCATATCTTCTGCCCATTTTTTGATAAGATTGTCTGTTTTGTGTGTGTTGAGTTTGAGGAGTTCTTTATAGATCCTGGATATCAACCTTTTGTCTGTACTGTCATTTGCGAATATCTTCTCCCATTCCGTGGGTTGCCTCTTTGTTTTGCTGACTGTTTCCTTTGCTGTGCAGAAGCTTTTGATCTTGATGAAGTCCCAAAAGTTCATTTTTGCTTTTGTTTCCTTTGCCTTTGGAGTCCTATCTTGAAAGAAGTTGCTGTGGCTGATATCGAAAAGGTTACTGCCTATATTCTCTTTTTTGATGGAGTCTTTGCCTGGTTTGCGGGTCAAGGTAATGTTGGCCTCAGAGAAAGAGTCTGGAAGATTTCCTTCTGTTTCTATTTTTTGAAACAGCTTCAGGAGAACTGGTATTATTTCTTCTTTGAATGTTTGGTAGAAATCCCTAGGGAATTCATCAGGTTCAGAACTCTGTTTTTTGGGAGGTTTTTGATCACTGCTTCAATCTCCTTACCAGTTACTGGTCTACTCAGGTTGTTAATTTCTTTCTGTTTGTCTTGGAAGTTTCCAGGTTTCTAGAAATGCAATCATTTCTTCTAGGTTGCTTAACTTATTGGCATATAGCTGTTGATAATAATTTCTGATGATTGTTTCTATTTCCTTGGTGTTAGTCGTGATCTCCCCCTTTCGTTCATAACTGGGAAAACTGGACAGCTATATGCAGAAAA